GAATTTATGGCCGACTGCACTTAAGCATGGCTTGCTCCAGTCCCTCTCGCTCGGGGAAACGACGCCAGCCCTAGCAATCATTATGGGCAAAGGGTTGAAATCATCATAATTTTCTTCTTCTTAAAAAAAGGAAAGGAAAAAAAGAAAGAAAGGGCAAGTTGGAAAAAAGAAAGAAAGAAAGAACACCAAGAAGCCTATTTCCCAACCTGCTTCTGTCTAGAGAAATTGCAAAGAACGCCACAACTTTGATGTTAATTGGGGACCAGCAAGAGTTTGCCAACTGACTAGAGAAAAATAGTAATTTTGCTCCTGTGCTCCATCAGCTTGTTTTGCAGGAATCTGTGGGTTATATATATACAGTATATTTAAAGAATACACAGACATAATTATCTGCACCAGACTGTATGTGGATCAAGCAACTGCTAAAAGGCACAGGATCAGGTGCTGATGGAGCTGTTGGCAACCTTGGTTTCAAGGGACCACTGCAGTTTTGATTCTTTAGTGCACTGGTTCTTAACCTTGGGTTACTCAGGAGTTTTGGACTGCAACTCCCAGAAGCCTTCACCACCAAGTGTGCTGGCTGGGGTTTCTGGGAGCTGCAGTTCAAAAACATCCGAGTAACAAAGGTTAAGAACCACTGCTTTAGTGGACCTCTCCAGGGTCTAAAAATGAACTGAGAAACTAAATAATATTAGCTGCACAATCATAATGTAGAGAGAAGCCACAGCAAAGACTCTCTGCAGTTTATGAAAAATTGTTTTATTCCTGCCATGTGTGTGAATTTATTCATCCAGAGAACCCTATCTCTCCCCCCCCCTCATCAGCCTCCCCCCTCTTTCTGCATTTTTGGCCAGGGAAAAATAAGATCCAGCTCTAACAATATTAATGTAACAAGTCATGGGTAGAAATTGAATCCCTTTTGTCTCTTAATTGTGTACCGCGGGGGGGGGGAACTAACTTGCACCCCGCATGCAGGCACATGCCACTGGGATGACATGAGCAATGCATGTAATGTTCAGGCAACAATGGAATAGTGCCCATATATGGCATTTGACGGAAGGATGGAAGGAA